TTCAGGAGCATATTTAAATTTCTTATATTTTTAGTTTCTGAAGTTCCTCCCGTTACTGACTTCTAGTTTTATTCTGTTATGACCTGAGAAGATACCTGACATTTCAATTTTTCAAAAATTGTTGAGACTTGTTTTCTGTCCTAACATATCCATCCTGGAGAATGCTCCGTATGATGATGAGAAGAATGCATATTCTGTAGCTGTTGGATGATATGTTCTGTGAACATCTCTTAAGTCTATTTGGTCTAAAGTACAATTTAAGTACAATGTTTCTTGGATAATCTGCTATGTAGATGATCTCTCTAATGCTGCAGTATCCAGCTATCACTGTGTTGATGTCTATCTCTCCTTCTAGATGTAATAAGATCTGCTTTATATATCAGGTGCTCCAGTGTTGGGTCCATATATATTTAGAATCATTATATACTCTAGCTGAACTGATCCCTTTATCATTATATAATAACCTAGTTTCTTTGTACTGTTTTTGACTTAAAATCTGCTTTATCTGATATAAGCATAGCTAGTGCTGCTTGTTTTTTTATTTCCTTGTGCATGGAATATGTTTTTCCATCCCTTTACTTTCAGTCTATATGTCTTTACAGGTCAGATGAGTTTCTTGTAGGCACCCCATGTATGTGGATCAGGTTTTTTTGTTGTTGTTTTTTTCTGGTTCATGTTCTCTCATGAGGTTGCAAGGTTTTTTCTTTATGTCTGTTTAGGCAGTCTCTATCTTCTAAGGGGAAAGTGTAATCCATTTACATTCAAGGTTGTCATTGATATGTGAGGGCTTATTCTTATCATTTTATTAATTTATTTCTGGTTGTCTTGTGTATCCTTTGTTCCTTTCTTTCTCTCTTACTGTTTATCATTATGGTTTGGTGGTTTTCTGTGTTTGCTTTACCAGTGGGTTTTATACTTTAGCATGTTTCCATGAATGGTAGATTTCATCCTTTTGGTTCAATGCATAGGACTCTTTAAGTATCTCTTACAGAGCTGGTCTAGAGGTGACGAATTTCCTCAGCTTTTACTTGTCTGGGAGTCTTGATTTCTCTTTCATTTATGAAGAACAATTTTGCTGAGTATACAATCTTTTGCTGGCTTTTTTTTTTTTCTTTCAGCACTTTGAATATATCATCCCATTCTTTCCTGGCATGTAAGATTTCTGCAGAGAATATGCTGGTAGTCTGATGAGGGTTCCCTTATAAGTGAATAGACATTTTTGTCTTGTTTTTCTTTTTTTTTTAATCATTTCATCTTGGATTCATGATAAAATTGTCTTGCTGTTTTTAGAATTCTCTCTTTGCCTTTTGACTCCTGACAGTGTGACAATAATGTGCCATGAAGAAGACTTTTTTGAATTTAATCTGTTTGGGACTCTCTAAGCTTCCTGTATGTGGATGTCTAAATCTCTTGATAGACTTGAGGAAGTTTTCAGCTATTATTTCATTAAATAGGTTTTCTATCCCTTTTGTCTTCTCTTTGCCTTCTGGGACACTGAACATTTTTAAAAAGCGGGCATGGTGGCTGATGCCTGTAATCCCAGCACTTCGGTAGGCCAAGGCAAGTAGATCACTTCAAAACCAGCCTGGCCAACATGGTAAAACCCTGTCTCTATCAAAAATACAAAAAATTACCCAGGCATCATGCCTGTAGGCCAAGAAGCTGAGGCACAAGAACTGCTTGAACCCAGGAAGCAGAGGTTTCAGTGAGCTGAAATTGCATCACTGCACTCCAGCTTGGGTGATAGAGTGAGATTCCACCTCAGAAAAAAAAAACAAATTACAAAAAAAATTGGCCACTTATGGTGTCCCTTACATTACATAGGGGAAGATGGAGCCAGGCTAAGCAGGCCTATACTCTGGACTCCCAGTGGTGGAGGCAGGTGCTGGCTGTGGTTGGCAGGGTCAGGGTAATCCCTGGTTCCCTGGAAAAATGTTCAGGTGGGAACAGCAGTAGCTGTGCTGTTCTTAGGGAGGGCGATGTGGCTTTTAGTGGCAGCAGCCATAAACAGGAGGTTGGGAAGTGAACACTTTAGCCCTAGTCACAGCTATAAGCAGGGTAGCCTTTCCTAAGGGTATGTTTAATTGTGCAGTCCTCCTGGTACTGCAGGCAGTGGGGTTGCTTGACACCAATGGCTCACACTTCAGCTCTAGTGGCAGCAGACCGCAGCAGCCCCAACTGAGTCTGGGGGAAGTCAATGGGGCTCCAGAGATGTGGAGATGCAGGGGCTGTTGGGTGTCATGGCAGGATGCAGTCTTGTCGGGGTTGGGCTCTCAAAATGGTGCCTTGTGTGGGACCTGGCATGTGCTCTCTTGCTGGAGCAATGCCATCACATGGTCTCAGTCAGCTCCCTATATTTGTCTCAGGGCCTGCATGGGTCACAAGGGCTCTTCTGTGGATAGGATTGAAAAATCCATGGTGGGAATATAAACTGCTAGAAGTCACTCAGTTAGCCTTTCCCCACACTGGGTAGCCTCTCCAGGATCCTAACTGATCCCTGTCAAGCAGGTTGCCTCGCTTCCTCTCCTTCCTCACCTTAGGTGTTTCCTGTCACTTCTCTATTGAATTCCAGCACTCTCTCTAAGGTAATCTATTTGAAGTGAGAATACTGTCTCACTATTTTGGTTCTTTTTTGTTGAGGAGGCAAGTACCCAATACCTCTAGTAAGAAATCATGGCTAAATTTTGCCTGTCAGTTTTTATGCTTTCTACATTTTCTCAATTTTATAATCAAACCAAACCAAAGTTTCAAAGTTAGAAAAGGTGTTAATTCTAAGCAGTGGGATTAGGACTAGTTTTTAGAATTAGAAAAAAAGTACATAGTATTTTAAAAATTAAACAGAAGAAAAAAAGAAAAAGACCACCTCAAGAATAATGCAGTACTTCAAATTTCTTATATTTGTTATTTACAGAAGCATCAAGATAGAAGGTAAACAGACATAAAGAAGAGAAATAGTGAGAAAGAGGCCTTAGAATAAGTAGAACATGTGGAGTAAATGGAAAGAAACATGTTTATCACAGTTATTCCAAACAGGGTAAACAGGAAGTTTATATAACTTAGAGATCCAAATTGGACACAAAATGTAAAAGACTATTAAAAATAGATAAGCATGTAGAAGCTTCCCTTCAGTTGCAAAGTGTTGAAGATACGCCCATCATCAAGGACTAGTCACAAACTTCAAACCTTGTCTGTTTCTCAACTATTTCCTTTAAAAATAAATAAATACGGCTGGGCGCGGTGGCTCAAGCCTGTAATCCCAGCACTTTGGGAGGCCGAGGCAGGTGGATCATGAGGTCGAGAGATTGAGACCATCCTGGTCAAGATGATGAAACCCCGTTTCTACTAAAAATACAAAAAATTAGCTGGGCATGGTGGTGTGTGCCTGTAATCCCAGCTACTCAGGAGGCTGAGGCAGGAGAATTGCCTGAAGCCAGGAGGTGTAGGTTGCGGTGAGCCGAGATCGCGCCATTGCACTCCAGCCTGGGTAACGAGAGCGAAACTCCGTCTCAAAAAAATAAATAAATAAATAAATAAATAAACGTAGGCGGGATGCAGTGGCTCATGCCTGTCTTCCCAGCACTTTGAGAGGCCGAGGTGAGCGGATCACTAGGTCAGGAGTTCGAGACCAGCCTGACCAACATGGTGAAACCTTGTCTCTACTGAAAATATAAAAACTAGCTGGGCGTCGTGGCTCATGCCTGTAATCCTAGCTACTGGGGAAGCTGAGGTGGGAGAATCACTTGAACCAGGGAGTCAGAAGTTGCAGTGAGGTGAGATTGTGCCACTGCACTCCAGCCTGGGCAACTGAGTGAGACTCCATCTCAAAAAAACAAAAATAAATTAAATTAAACAAAAATTTATAGGTTCCACATCACGTTACGAGTCTCCTTCAACTTATTTTTTTCGAATCCCTATTGTAATTCAGACTATAAAAATATAATTGAAATATATATTATATACCAGAAGCTATTAATATCTTCTTTAAATCTCTTATCATCAATTCTTCAATACATGTTTTAGTTCCCCCATTTTTGCTCAGTGATAGTATTTTCTCTCACCAGCATTTCTGGGATTCATAAAAGCCAGGAGGGTGTATCTGTATCCAAGAATAAACAGAAGTTTGTGTTGGATATAATAAGGTATTATTGACAGAGGAAGACAAATGCCTATGCAGATGGGGTGGGTCTCCAGTAAAACCCCACCTCCAAGGCAAAGACAGTTTAAAGCCTGAAAGCCAAGCTACAAGTTAAATCCTTGGACCAGACTGAGAACTTGCCTTCCTGTTTGCACACTTTCCTCTGATTGTTCTCTGCCCTTTACCTATTTTATATATACCTACCCTTTCCGACTTGTTTTTTCCACACTGTTGCACCCACCTTTGAATGGTGCCTTCGCTTTAACCTTTTTTGCATACTCACAAACCAGTCAGCACACACTCCCCATTCTGAGTCCATAAAGGGCCCCAGACCCAGCCACATGGGGTAACCATCCCCCAACCCTGCATCCCCTCTCTGCTGAAAGCAGTTTTCATTGTTCATTAGACTTCTTCTCTGCCTTCCTCACCCTCCAATGTCCACCATATCCTCATTCTTCTTGGGCGCAGTACAAGAGCTTGGGAACCGCCAAACATGGGTACAAGCTATAACACAGGCCAGCTGGGGCACACCAGCATGGCTGAGCAAGGCCCGGCCGGGTGTTGCTAGCTAAGGGTCCCTGGCTTGCAAAGTGACCAAGAAGAAAAATCCTGCATCATTATCTCCTTATCTGAAAAACCCCATCTTCTCATCACCAACCAGCCTGACAGAATCAAGAAAAGCTTCATTTACACTGTTGTAAAATGTTCACTGATTGCTTTCTGTCTTAGCTCCCATAGAGAAGTTCAGATCCCAAATGACAGGTGAAAGATTCTGGTTTAAAGTGAGACAAACAAACATTGGACTAAGGCACAGGGTAGGTTCCACATCAATCCTTCCTCATGGCTGTGAAATGTATTTACTTACCCAATTCTCTTCTATTATTCCAATGTTATATTTATCATCCTTGCCTGGGTCAATTTGTTGCTTTTGCTCAGCATAAAATTCCTGGAGAGCTGCTAAGGCGTGGGCAGAAAGCTGGGGTGTCTCATCATCTTCCAAATCACTCATTTCACGAGTTGTTTATAACCTGCAGATCAAGGAATACATGTTCTGTGCAGATTATTTTCCCTTCCCATCCAGTAATAATTTAAAAAAAATTTTTATTTAACAGTAAGGATCCAAACTGAAGTGAGTTTTATACAAGTGTAAACCAAAAATAAAATTCTAAGCCCCCCAGCTGACTGAATAAATCCCTCTTCTGGGCCCAAGTAAACCTGAAAAACCAGTTCTGTCCACTATGGGAAGGACATGCCTCACTATACTCTTATTCCTTTGGAATTCAGGCACAACTGATCAGTATAAACATTAAAACAGGATCTTAAGAGTGACAAAACAGACTCTTTGTAGAAATAAGAGAACAAATTCCAACCTGTTTCTAGTATAGTACACCTGACAGATAACAGGCCCTGACAGAAGTCAAAGATTTTATCCCAAAATATATTTTTTGACCTATTTTGAAATGGCCCTGCAAAGCTGTCTCCTGTGGGGAATATCTACACACTATAGAGAATCTACTTTCCTTTCCAGGTCTTCTCCTGATCCAGGAGAGATTAATTAAGAATCTGTCATTTTTTTGATTTGATAGAGGCATGTAGCATCTCCTTGGTCCTCAAAACCCCTTACGTTAATCCAGACACTCCTTTCCATTGATTCCAAGATAGTAACTTAACTCTTTCAACCAACTGCCAACCAAAACAAATTTTTAATCTATGAGCAGGAAGCCCTCCACTTCCAGTTGTCCTACCTTTCTGAACCATACATGTACGTACCTTACATGTACTGATTGATGTCTTATGTCTCCCTAAAACGTATAAAGCCAATTTCTTCCAAATAGTTTTATTTATATGTACGTCAAACAAATTATGGCATATAAATCATATATCAGTATTTTAGCTAGCTTATATATCCTCAGTATGAGAAACAGATGGTCAACATAAGAGTAAACAATGCTATCCAAAGCAATCTACAGATTCGATGCAATTGCTAATGAATTACAAACACCATTTCTCACAGAATTTAAAAAAAACAATTCTAAAATTCATATGGAACCAAAAAAGAGAATGAATAGCCAAAGCAATCCTAAGCAAAAAAGAACAAAGCCAAAAGCATCCCATTACCTGACTTCAAATTTGACTACAAGGCTATATTGGATACAATGAGTTCTAAATTTCTCTTCAAAGAATCGGAATGTCAGTATGTTCAGTTATTTGTCCACCATTTTAAAGTTCTTCCTTTAAACTACTCCTTGTAGTTTCAGCAAACAACCTTCTCCACCAGTTCTGATCAGTAGTTCACATCATTACCCTGGCCGCCAGCTCCATCCTGACTCATCCTGGTCACCTGCTTTGGTCACCTGCTCCGGTCACCTGCTCTGACCCAGGTCACCGCTGGCTACCTGCTGTGACCTGCCTGTAATCGTTCTTCCCACCAAACCACCCACCCTACCACTCCAGCTGATACCCCTGCTCTCTTGAAAACAGCCAATTGGGATTAGTCTAGCCTGTGTGGTCTAACCCTCATTAATAGGGGAAGGACACAACAGTAGGGGTGATCCCTGTCAGAAATAAGTACCCCTTTTCCTCCCTTGTCTAAGTGTGGGCTCACCATTGCTCCATCCGTGAGCTGTACCCTTCTATAGAAGTAAACTGCCTTGCTGAGAGAATTTATCTTTGAGTGCTATTTCTTCTGAGGCATCAAAATTTTACCTTTAACAATTCTGGTGGCCTGTATGGTGACAAACCGTTCTCCGCTGGGTGGTCTCAGGCACGAGGAGACATATTCCACCACTTCACTGCAGTGGCCTCAGGGGTAAGGAATTGAAACCTACCCAATGTGACGAACAAGCCCAGCCTCTCAGCAATGCAGGATTAAAAAAAAAAAAAAAAAAAAAAAAAGCCTACAAATACCACGGCAACTAAGCAACTCCATGCACAGACCAAGAAAAAGATACCCCAGTAAAGTATTTCCTTGGTGGTTGGGACCAAGGTAAGAAAAGCCCTGGGGGTTGAGGGGCGTAAATTATTCCTTGGTCAGAATACACCAAGGCAAGAAAAGCTGTGTGGGGTGGGGGGTGTTGTCTGCTCCTCAGAACTTTTAGTCTCTGGAGTAAAAGGGGAAGGATTAAAAAAAATTTTTTTTAGAAAGCACAGAAACCAAATACCAGGATCACTCAGCACATATTCAGTTCTTGTTAATCCCTGAAGCAGGGACTAATTTTATTGGGGAGGAATTTAATGTTAAAGTTAGGCATAGGTCTACAAATTAGCCCAAGAGGATTCCTCACCTCATTAAATCTACTCACCACTGCAGATGAAAAATATATTAATCCTAATGTCTAGTCTAAAGAAGGGAACCAAGGGAAACTCTGAGTCTTTCCAATCCACATCAAGCTAAAGACCCCAGGAGAAGTAGGAAGCAATACCCCATTCCCCTAGAGGGCAGGATAGGGTTGAAACCTATAATTGAAGGCTTTATTAAAGACGGGCTTTTCGAGCCTTGTATGTCCCCTTATAACACCCCGATATTGTCAGTCAAGAATCAGATGGATCATACTGGCTGGATTAGGACCTTAGAGCTATCAACCAAATTGTCCAGACTACCCACCCCACTGTCCCCAATCCTTACACCATTCTCAGCAAGATTCCATATAATCAGCAATGGTTTACTGTAATAGATTTGAAGAATGCTTTTTGGGCACATCCCCTAGCTGAAGATGGCTGAGATATATTTGCTTTTGAGTGGCAGGATCTCCATTCAGGGTGGAAACGACAATATCAATGGACGGTCTTGCCTCAAGGGGTCACAGATTCCCGTAAATTTTTTGGCCAAATCGTAGAACAAGTATTAGAAAAAGTTGTCATCCCAGAGCAAACATGCCTTCTCCAGTATGTGGATGATCTTATATCTGGTGAACAAATAGAGAAGGTAACTAACTTCTCTACACATATTCTTAACCATCTACAGTTTGAGGGGCTATGAGTCTCAAAAAGAAAGCTTCAGTATGTGGAGCCCAAAGTTATTTAGGCCACTTAATTAGTGCAGGTAAGCGAAGAACAGGGCCTGAACGAGTTAAGGGAATCGTGTCCCTATCCTTGCCTCAAACTAAACAAGAACTCAGGAAACCTTTAGGGTTAGTTGGATGCTGCCACTGATGGACTGACTCATATGCCCTACACAGTAAATTGCTGTATCAAAAACTTGCCCAGGAGAAGCCTGACCATCTCCTATGGACTTCTGAGGAAGATGATCAAGTCGAAAGGCTGAAAGGCTCATAACCGCCCCTGTTTTAGCCTTACCCTCCCTAGAAAAGCCATCCCATCTTTTTGTCAACGTAGACAGTGGAGTAGCTTTAGGAGTGCTTACTCAAGAACATGGAGGCTGCTGGGAGCCCGTGGCCTTCCTATCAAAGGTCTTAGATCCAGTCACTTGTGGATGGTCTTAATGCATCCAATCCATTGTAACTACGGCAATATTAGTCAAAGAAAGTGGAAAGTTAACCTTTGGAGGAAAATTGACAGTAAACACCTCTCACCAACTTAGAACTATCTTAAACCAGAAAACAGGAAGATGGCTTACTGACTCAAGAATCTTAAAGTATGAGGCCATTCTGTTAGAAGAAGATGATTTAACATTAATCACTGATAATTCACTCAACCCAGCAGGTTTCCTAACAGGGAATTCAAATCTAAGGAGAGAGCACACATGTTTGGATTTAACTGATTACCATACAAAGTTCGACCAGACCATGGAGAAACTCTCTTGAGGACTGTACAGCACTTATTCATAGATGGTTCCTCCCAGGTGATTGAGGGAAAAAGACACAATGGGTATTCAGTAATTGACAGAGAAACTCTTGTAGAAAGAGAGTCAGGAAGACTGCCTAACAGTTGGTCTGCTGAAACATATGAGCTGTTTGCACTCAGCCAAGGCTTAAAGTATTTACAGAACCAGAAAGGAAGCATTTATACGATTCCAAGTGTGCCTTTGGAGTGACCCATACATTTGGAAAGATTTGGACTGAACAAGGTCCCATTAATAGTAAAGGTCAAGACCTTTTTCATAAGAAGCTAATCACCCAAGCACTGAATAATCTTCAGTTGCTGGAAGAAATAGCTATTGTCCATGTTCCTGGACACCAGCAAAGCCTTTCTTTTGAAAGTCTAGGACAGGCGTCCCCAAACTTTTTACACAGGGGGCCAGTTCACTGTCCCTCAGACGGTTGGAGGGCCGCCACATACTGTGCTCCTCTCACTGACCACCAATGAAAGAGGTGCCCCTTCCTGAAGTGCGGCGGGGGGGCCGGATAAATGGCCTCAGGGGGCCGCATGCGGCCCGTGGGCCGTAGTCTGGGGACGCCTGGTCTAGGAAATAACCTGACAGATCAGACGGCTAAGCTGGCTGCTGTTTCTTCGGAAATGCATATTTTTCACTTAACTCCCTACCTCCCTCCTCCTACCATAATCCCCATTTTCTCTTCCACTGAAAAAGAAAATTTAATAAGAATAGGCACTAAAGAGAATTCAGAAGGAAAATGGATATTGCCAGACCAGAGAGAAATGCTGTCTTATGAGGAAAATCCTATCTCAACTACATCAAGGGACCCACTGGGGGCTCCAACCTATGTGCGATGCAATTCTCGGAGTTTATGGTTGTATGGAAATTTATACCCTGGCCAAACAGGTTACAGATAGTTGCTTAGTATGTAAGAAAACTAATAAACAAACTATAAAAGGATTACCTCTTTCGGGGGAAGGAATCCAGGCTTAAGGCCATTCCAAAGTATCCAAGTTGATTACACAGAAATGCCTCCAACAGGCTGTCTAAAATATTTACTAGTGATAGTAGATCACCTCACTCACTGGGTTGAAGCTATCCCCTTTTCAAATGCAACAGCCAATAATGTAGCCAAGGCCCTAACTGAAAATAAAGTACCCAGGTTTGGGCTAATAGAAAATATTGACTCTGACAATAGAATTCGTTTTACTGCAGACATCATTAAAAAGTTATCCCAAACATTAGACATTAGATGAGAATACTGTATCCCCTGGCACTCACCCTTATCAGGGAGAGCAGAAAGAATGAATCAGACTTGAAAGAGCCACTTAACCAAATTAGTCTTAGAGACTCAGTTACCATGGACCAAGTGATTTCCTATTGCCCTGCTGACAATCCAAAGTGCCCAGCAGTAAGATATTGGTCTTTCTCCTTATGAGATGCTCTACAGATCGCCTTATTTATACTCCACTGCTGACATTCCTACCTTTGAAACAAAAAAATCAATTTCTTAGAAATTATATACTTGGTCTACCTTCTACTTTCTCTTCTCTTAAAACTAAAGGCCTTTTAACACAGACCCTGCCCCTAGAGTTCCCGGTGCATCAGCATCAGCCTGGGGAAGGAAAGAGGAGAAGCTCAAGCTGGCCTGGGAAGGACGTTGCTTAGTGCTCCTAAGTACTGAAACCGCAGTCCGGTCAGCAGAGAGAGGATGGATGCATCACACCTGAGTCAAGAAAGTACCGCCCCCTTTGGAGTCCTGGGCCACAGTCGCAGGAGAAAACCTACCGAACTAAAGCTAAGAAAAATTTAACTCTCTTTCAGCTATGCTATTACTCTCTCTTCTTTCCTTGCTCTATTGCTGACCACCTGGTTATTAATGTAACCCAGTCAATTTCGCCTCAAGCTATTACATTTGATGCTTGCCTTATTATAGCCTGTGGGGACTTGCCTAGTCAAAGACAGCTCTCCACTTCAGAAAAATACCTCTATCCTTCCTTGTTGTCCTCAGACTAGGCATTAGTGAACTGGGACCATTTAGTCTGGGAAGATTGCGATTGAATACTCCAGTGTCAACCACAGGTCTTGCTCTCTCGATACAGAGCTTTTATGCCATAGTTGGTTCAACGTTCTGTGGACCACTAAAGAGCAAGGATGGACTGCTCCAACTAGCAGCTGTAATTTCCTAAAACCATACATTCACTTTACTAAAGGAACAGCTTCCCTTAACTGTCAGCTAACCCAGTGCAATCCTATTATCTCAAACCCTCAAAGTTCTTCCTCCTCTCTAAGCTGGTTCCCTTCACTAAGCTGGTTTTATGGTATGGGGACCGAGGTTTCAGGAAAAGACCCTATCGGATCTTTTAAGATACTTTCTTTGATCCCTCACTGCCTACACCTTCCCCTAAGCCTTCTTCCAAAACCTCTCACAATGAAACAATTGTTCCTCCTCTATTTAAGGACAAGGCCAAGGCAGCTATTGCAGAAGTTAAAGACTTAAAACAAACTTTGGCAGTCAAGACAGGACATCAAGATGCAAATGCCTGGTTGGAATGGATCAAATATTCCGTCTGCATGGTAAACAAAAGCAATCATTATGCTTGTGTGCATGGCAGGCCAGAGGCCCAGATCGCCCCTTTCCCCTAGGATGGTCCTCTAGCCGACTAGGCATGGGCTGTAAAGTAGCTCTTTTCCAGGATTCTACAGCCTGGGGCAACGAGTTGTGCCAAGCTCTTTCTGCTACATCCCGAAGTTCAATACCCTGCAGGTCAGCCCCTGAGGGCCATCCAGCTTCTGTCTCCAGACACTAAGTTCACTTCGTGTCTCTCACGACCAGGAGGGAACTTAGCATTCCTTAGAAACCTAAAGGGATGCAGTGAGCTTAAGACTTTTCAAGAGCTTACCAGTCAATCAGCCCTTGTTCATCCGCGAGCAGACATGTGGTGGTATTGGGGTGGATTTTTACTGGACACTCTGCTAAGTAACCGGAGTGACAGTTGTGCTCTAGTCCAACTGGCTATCCCTTTCACCCTGGCATTTCATCAACTAGAGGGAGGAAAAATACATCGTGAAGCAGGAGAAACCCCTCATGGGTCTTTCAACTCTCACGTCTATTTTGATACAATTGGAGTCCCATGAGGAGTACAAGATAAATTTAAAGCCCGAGATCAAACAGCTGCAAGATTTCAGTCAATATTTTGGTGGGTGGTAATTAATAAAAATGTCGATGGGATAAAACATTTATCACAACCAACAGTGGTTTATTAGCTGCACTAGAGAGGCTGTTAAAGGAATAGCTGAACAATTAGGGACTACTAGCCAGATGGCTTGGGAAAACAGAATAGCCTTAGACATAAAATTGGCCGAAAGAGGAGGAGTTTGCGTCATGATTAAAACTCTGTGTGGTACCTTCACCACAAACAATACCGTCCCTGACGGAAGTATAACAAAGGCATTGCAAGGTCTGACTGCTCTGTTCAGTGAGTTAGCCAACAACTCGAGGGTAAATGACCCCTTCACAGGGTGGCTAGAAAAATGGTTCAGTAAATGGAAAGGAATCACAGCCTCAATTCTTACTTCTCTCACAGCCGCAGTGGGTGTACTCATCCTTGTCGGGTGTTGTGTCATACCATGCATACGTGGGTTGCTGCAGACTCATAAAAGCAACACTTACCAAAACCTCCCTTAACTATCCCCCACCTTATTCAGAGAAGCTTCTTCTTTTAGAAAATCCAGCAGAACAACTAAGCCAAGACACGTTAAGGAAGTTTGAAGAGAAAGAGCTGTAAGGAGAATTCAAGAGGAGGGAATTATTAGCTACAATGAGCTCTAAATTTCTCTTCAAAGCATCAGTGTGTCAGTATGTTCAGTTATTTGTCCTCCATTTTAAAGTTTAGCTTCCCTTGTAGTTTCAATAAACAACCTTCTCCACCAGTTCTGATCAGCAGTTCACATCATTCCCCCTGCCCCCAGCTCCATCCTGACTCATCCTGGTCATCTGCTTTGGTCACCTGCTCCAGTCACCTGCTTTGACCTAGGTCACCCCTGGCAACCTGCTCTGACCTGCCCATAACCATCCTTCCTGCCAAACCACCCACCCCACCACTCCAGCTAGTACCCCTGCTCTCTTTAAAATAGCCAATCGGGATTAGTCTAGCCTGTGTGGTCTAACTCTAGCCAGTAAGAGAATGACACAGGAGTGGAGGTGACTCCCATCAGGAATAAGTACCCCTTTTTCCACCCTTATCCAAGTATGTGCTCACCATTGCTCCATCTGTGAGCCGCATCCTACTATAGAAGTAAACTGCCTTGCTGAGAGGATTTACCTTCGAGTGGTGTTTCTTTTGCGGCATCAAAATTTTACTTATAACAGCTATAATAACCAAAACAGCATGGTACAGGTAAAAAACCAGATACATAATCAATGAAATAGAATGGAGAACCTAGAAATAAAGCCACACATATCCAATCAACTGGTCTTCAAGCAAGTCAACAAAAATAAACAATGCGGAAAGGATATTCTATTCAATCAATGGTGCTGGGAAAACTAGCTAGCCATTTGCAGAAAAGTAAAACTGGACACCTATCTCTTACCAGATACAAAAATTAACTCAAGATGTATTAAAGACTGAAATGTAAGAACTCAAACTATAAAAACTCTAGGAGAAAACCTAAGAAAAACTCTTTTGGACACTGGCTTAGGAAAAGAATTTATGACTATGACCTCAAAAGTAATTGCAACAAAACCAAAAATTGACAATGGGACTTAATTACAGAGCTCTGCACAGCAAAAGCAACAATTAACAGAGTAAAGAGACAATCTACAGAATGGGAAAAAAAATATTTGCAAACTATGCATCCAACAAAGGACTAAAATACAGAATCTACAAGAAACTTAATTAAATCAACAAGAAAAAAAAAGACTCCTATAAAAAAGTGGGCAAAGGACACGATCAAAAGAAGACATACAAGTGGCCAAGAAACATGAAAATATGCTCGGCATCACTAATTGTCAGAGAAGTGCGAATTACAATCACCATGAGATGCTATCTCACACCAGTCAGAACGGCTATTACTAAAAAGTCAAAAAATAACGGATGTTGGCAAAGATATGGAGAAAGGGGAATGCTTATACATCGTTGGTATGAATGTAAATTAGATCAATCCTATGGAAAACAAAAAGACACCTGTACTTTATTGCAGGACTAGTCACAATAGGAAATCCATAAAATTGACCTAAGTGTCTGATCAATGATGGGCTGGATAAAGAAAATGTGGCACATATACAACATGGAATAGTACACAGCCATAAAAAGGAGTGAAATCGTGTCCTTTGCAGCAACATGGATGCAGCTCGAGGCCATTATCCCATGTGAATTAAAAGAGAAACGGAAAACCAAATATCATATGCTCTCACTTGTAAATGGGAGCTAAAGAATGGGTATAAGCAGACATAAAGACAGAAGTAATAGATACTGGGGACTCCAAAAGAAGAGTGGGAAAGAGTGGGGTAAGGACAGAAAAACTACCTATCAGATACTATGTTCAATACTGGGTGATGGGTTCACTAGAAACCCAAACACCAGCATCACCCAATATACCCATGTAAAAAACCTGAACAATGTATGCCCTGAATCTAAACTTAAAAATAAAAGTTTTTAAAATTAAAAAATATACATATTCTAAAAAATAAAAATTAAAAAGAATATAAAGACAAAACAAATAAATCAAAATAATGGAAGTACTTAATGCTGATGAGAATGTAGTGATATTGGTATACTCTCTAATTTAGATAACAATATAAATTGGCATAATCTTTTGGAAAGGAACCTGATAATTTGGACGTAAATATTTCTACTTTCTACCCCAATTCTCATTCCTAAACTTTCTACTCTGAAATAATTAGATTCACAGGAAGTTGCAAAAATAATGGAGATCCCATGTATCTTCCCATCTATTTTTCCACAATGATAACAACTTAGATAACTATAATGCAACGTCAAACCAGGAAATTAAGAGTACAATCCACAGAGCTCGTTCAGTTCACCAGTTTTACACATATTCATTTTCACATGTGTGTGCACATGTGTACAGTTCTATATGCTATCACATGTGTAGATTCATGAAACACTTCCATGGATAAGAGATAGAATAGTCCAGCACCACAGAGATTAGTTGTACTATCTTTTAAAGTCATTCCCATCCTCTCCCACCTCACCCTCCATTCTTAACCCCTGCAAAGCATGGATCTGTTCTCCATTTCAATAATTTTGTCACTTCAAGAATTTTAGATAAATGGAATCACACATTACATAACTCGAGATTGTCATTTTTCACTCAGCATGGTTTAAAATTTACCTATGTTGTTGTATCAATAGCTCATTCCTTTTTATTGATGAGTAGTAATTCATAGTATAGCCACACTTTACTTAACCATTCACCCACTAAAACATTTGGGTTGTTTCTAATTTTAAGCTATTACAAACAGAGCTGCTGTGAACATTCCTGTACATTGTATAGGAATTTTCATTTCTCTGGATAAATGCTCACGAGTATGATGTTGGATTTTATGGTTTGAATATGTTTATTTTGAGAACATCAAAAAACTTATTTCATGATGATAGATTATAAAAGAGGATTTCATCAAATGAAGAACTGAATCCCTGTACTATGAAGTTTACTGTGGCCAGAGAAGCCAGGATTCTCTCTGCAATCATGTACCTTGTTTTTGAAATGCCTCTTGAAGTGAAATATGCAAATTTTAAAACATCTCTATTGAGATATTTTCACATATCATACAATTCATCTATTTAAAGTATACCATTCAGGTGGAATACGGTGGCTCATGCTTGTAATCCTAGAACTTTGGGAGGCTGAAACAGGAGGATCACTTGACCCTAGGAGCTCAAGATCAGCCTAGGAAATACAGAGAGACCATCTTTCTACAAAAATGTTTTTAAAAATTAGCTGAATGTGATGGCATGTGCCTATAGACCCAGCTACATGGGAGGCTGAGGTGGGAGGACTGCTTCAGTCTGGAGGCATAAGTTGCAGTGAGCCAAGATCATACCACTGCACTCCAGCCTGGGCAACAGTATGAGATGCCATCTCAAAAAAAATAAAGATTTAAAAAAATTGCATAATTCAATGATTTTTAGAATATTCGGAGTTGTGCAACCATCACTATAATCAAATTTTAGAACATTTTCAAAACTCCCAAAAGACATCCCATGCCTATTAGCAGTGCACCCCTATCTCACCGTCCACACTTAGCCCTAGGCAACCACTAACCTACTTTGTCTCTATGTATTTGGTTATTCTGGACATAACAAAATCCCATCTACAAATGGAATCATATAATATGTAGTCTTTCTTTAAACGGTTCCGTTTACTTTTGTAAGCAATTGCCAAACTTTTTTTTTTTTAATGTACCATTTTACATTCCCTCCAGCAGTCCCTGAGAGATCCAGTTCCTTTGCATCCTCACTAGGATTTGGTATTTATTTTAGCTATCTCAATATGTGTGTAGTGCTATCTCATGGCAGTGTTAATTCGCATTTCTTGAGTACTTAATGTTGAACATGTTTTCATATTCATATTTGCCATCTGTTTTTATCTCTCGTGAAATTTCTGCTCATGTCTCTTGCTATATAGCACAATGTATCATTTTCTTTTACAGACCTTGCATTTGGTGCTAGGAAGGATTTGTCAACCACTTGGTGCCAAAGAAATTTTTTTGTTTGAGACAGAGTCTCACCGTCTCCCAGGCTGGAGCAATCTTGGCTCACTGCAACCTCTGCCTCCTGGGGTTCAAGTGATTCTCTTGCCTCAGCCTCCCAAGTAGCTGGGATTACAGGTGTGTGCCATGACACCTGGCTAATTTTTATACCTTTGGTAGAGACAGGGTTTCGCCATGTTGGCCAGGCTGGTCTCAAACTCCTGTCTTCAGGTGATC